CGCGGCTGCACCGGGCACAGCCCGGCTCCCCGCGCCGAGCCCGCCTGGAGCCGCCGGAGACTGTGCGCAGAGGGAGGCGGAGCCGAGGACGCGGGAGCGGGGACAGACGGGTCCCCAGCCCGCCCAGCGCCCCGCCGGATGCTGCTGAGCAGGAGCCGTATGACAGCTGTCCCAGGGCCAGCAGACCCGGCTGCCCTCTAGCTCCACCTCCCGGGCCTCTGCCTGTCATCCGTTAGAATGGGAATAAAGTTCACCTGGGCAACAGGACGGGGCCCAAAGGGTATAAGGAGGCCGGAGGAAGGGGAGGGCTTTCTGAGCTGCCTTGGGCCGAACAGAGAGGCGGGGACTGGGCCTTGGCCCCCAGGTTCCGGATAAAGGAAAGTGTTGCAGAATCCAAGGGATGAGAGAGATCACTGGGGAAAAACAAGAGGATTTTATCAGGTGTGCACCTGCTCAGCTCGACCTTATGATGTCCAGAATGGCTGAGCGAGCTCTAAAGGGAAGGCTCCAGTTTTCACACATTTTGCTAGGGGAGTTGGTCTTCCTGGCGGAGAGGCACTGGGGAGGAGGGAGGGGTGCAAGCCGGGGTACAGAAGCAAGGCAAAGCAATTAATCAGTTAGCCTTGAAAGAAGACAGAGCCTTATGAGTCTTGTGAGAACAGAGTGTCATAGACTTTGTTTACGGGTCATGGTTACCAATCTTATCTGTACCAGGACAAGGAGTTACAGCCATAGGGTAGAGGGCTGTTTGAGGGTCTGAGGGGGGGTTGTTCAAGGCTGCTAAAGCTTGTTTTCCCTTAAGTCCTGCTTCATTCCCCTCTTTGATGCTATCTATAATAAGTTTTAATAGAGAGCATCACTATTATTACCATTTACCCCCATTATGGGGGGTTGGTTCCCTACTGGGCAGAGAGAGAATTATAACAAAAAGGAAAAGAGACTTATGTTGCTGTAATTCTGTGTTGATCCTCAAGCTTCAGGCACGTGTAGATGAACTAGATTCTGGGGTGACCAAAGCAGGGCTGTCATCTTTGGCATCAGTTCAATCTCAGGATCAGTGGTTTGGAGGGTCTGGGTCCTGCCGGCTGGTTCACTCATCTCAGGCTGCTTGTTTCAGCTGATTCTGGTGGATCCAAGGCATAATTCCTGTAACTTTCACAGCAGTGGGTGAGGGCAATGTTACAGTATGGGGCCCATCCCATAAGGGAGCACGGTGGTTGGATTTCTTTTCTTAATCCAAACAAAGTGCCCAGTTTTGAATGGGTGTACTGAGTCTGTCAGGCTTATGGGCATTCTCTCTTGTACCCAGCCATGAATATCTCTTTTTTTTTTTGTACAAGGAATCGAACTCAAGACCTCACGATTGCCAGACAGGTGCTGTTCCACTGAGCTATATCCCTGGCCCCATGAATATCTTGCATGGCTTATTCCCAAACCCTGCATCTGTCTCCTTAAGATCAATTTTCCTAACTTATAGGGATTACCCTTAATTTTACCTGTGATTAGGGGTGGCCAGCCAAACAACATTTTATAAGGGGATCCCCGTTTGTTTGGCGGGGATGCACTGGACTCAGAGAAGGGCCTCAGGCAGGGTTTGATCTCATCTGAAGTGGGTTTCTTGACAATATTTTTTTAACAATTGTTTGAGTGTCCGATTTATGTGCTTCACTTTTTTCTGAGCTCTGTGGCTGATATGCTGTTTTATCTTTAACATCTGTATGAGCTGCTGGACTCTCTTGGCTGTGAATGCTGGTCCACTGTCTGACCATAAGGTCAGGGGCAGCCAGATGTTGGGATGGTGTCTCTTAATAGCACCTTGGTCACCTCTCATGCCCTTTCTGTCCGCGTGGGGAAAGCTTCAGCCCGTCTCAAAAAGGTGCAGAAAAGCACTAACATATAGCAATAGTCACCAGCTTAAGGCAATTCGGTAAAATCCATAAGCAAGTTTTCACATGGGGCAGCTCCTGTTACCTGGATGCCTGGGGGCCAGGTTAGCCCTTGCCTTTCATTGTTTGGGGCACAGGTCAAGCATTGCCCACAAATAGCCCAAGCGATGGCAGTGAGTCATGGCACATAGAAATGGTGGCCTCATGGTATTTTTAATGTTGTCTTTCCCATGTGAAACCCCCGATGAAATTGTTTTACAAACCCGGGGCCCGACGTGTGTGGGGTGGCTAGCCTCCCATCAGCAAACTTCCGCCATCCCCCTTTACATACTTTCCAGCTTCTCAGACGCACAGGCTTTCTCTTTTGGAGAGTAATTTGGAGTCTCTGGGAGGGGTGACTCTGGGACAAGGTGCGTGCCTAGGGGCCCTCTCTCAGGTTGGGTGGCTGTCATAGCTGCCCATTTTGCTTCTCTGTCTGCTTTCTAGTTCTTTCTGGCTTCTAATATTCCAGTTGTTGGTGCCCTTGCCATGCATAACAGCCACTTTCTCCAGGGCCTATACTGTGTTGAGCAGTTATAAAAGTTCGTCTTTGTACCTTATTTTTTCCGCCAATCAGTACAGTCCTCTTTTCTGACATATGACCCCCGTGTACATGCAATGTTGCAAAGGCACATATTGAATCAGTATGGATATTAGCTTTTTTTTGTCCTTCACCAGGAACAGAGCCCTTGTCAAGGCTACTACATCTACCTTCTGGGCTGAGGTTCTGTTGGGCAGAGGCTGGGCGTCTACCATACAGTCCAATGTCTAGCACAAGCCTACTCCCATCTGTGAAATATTTGATATCTGGGTCTCCAAGGGGACAATCTGTGAGATCTCCCTGGCCCAAGAACACTGCGTCCACTACTTCCACACAATCATAAAGGGGGGCTTCTGGTTTGACAGGGAGCCAGGTGGCTGGATTAAGAGTGTTCCCAGCCTCTAAGGTTATGGGGGGATTTTCGCATAGGAGCCCTTGATAACAAGTCTTCCTTGGATTTGATAGGCTGTGGTGCCCTCTCTGGTCGATTAAGGTTATAACTTAGTGCAGTACTTGAACGGTCAGTTGTTGCCCCGTCAGCTTCCTGTGTCAGCACAGTGGCAGCAAGTGCCCTGAAGCACGGCTATCCCAGGGCAACAGAGTTTAACTGTTTGGACATGTATGCACTGGGAGATGCCAGGATCCTAAGACCTGAGTTAGGACCCCTATGGCCATTCCCTTCCATTCGTGGGCATATAGGAAGAAAGGCTTGGTTACATCTGGCATTCCCAAGGCAAGGGCTGAGTCAACTCTTTTTTGATCTGTTTAAATGCTCTGGCTCCTTTTCTCCCCCCATTTATGGTTTCTTATAGGGGCTTAGCCATGAGTGAAAAATTTGGGATCCAGAACCCCACTGTCCCCAGAAACTCTTATTTGGTGCCAGGTGGACGGGGTTGAAGGGCACAGATAGCCTGCTTTCACTCTGTGCCTAATTGGTGTTTCCTCTGAATCACTATGAAGCCTGGGTATTTGACCTCTGGTCAGCAAATGTATGCCTTTTTTTTTTTAGTACTAGGAATTGAACTCATGACCTCACACTTGCCAGGCAGGTGCTGTGCCACTGAGCTCTATCCCCAGGCCCATGTGTGTTTTTCTTTGGTACCTTATGTCCAACATTCCAATGTAGATGAAGGAGGTCTTGAGCAGTCCTCGAGAGTCCAAGCTATTAAAAGAAGGTCATCTATATATTGTAGCAGGGTGTAATTGTCTCCTGGTGTGATGAAAGCTTTGAGGTCAATAGCCAGTGCCTCCCTAAAGATCACAGGGGAGTTCTTAAGCCTGTGGGGAAGCCTAGTCCATGTGAGCTGTTTCTTTATGCCTGTAATTGGATCCTCCTGTTGAAATGCAAAGATGGGCCAACAGACTGGTGCAAGGTGGAGACAGAAAAAAGCATGAAACCCAAGCAAGCAAACCAGGCAGCACTAGTTGGAATGAGGTCCCATCAATGTGTGTGCATTTGGTACCATGGGACGAATAGTCTCAGTGGCCTGATTTACAGCGTGTAAGTCCTGCACCAGTTTGTACTCATTAGTCCCCGGTCTACACACCAACAAGAGAAGGGTGTTCCTGACATCTAGCTAAGATTCCATGTTTTCAGAGCCACTTTCAATATTCTTGAGTGCCTTGTATTGCTTCTTGGGGGAGGGGGTGCTGGTGGACACAAACTGGCATTCCACTATTACCAATACTTGATTTACAGCCATCCCAGGCGGGTTATCTTCAGCCCACACCCTGGGAATTTTATGTGTCAGCCCATGCAGCCCAGCTATTCCTGGCTTTTGTGACTTATCTGAACACAGTCTCCATTCATCTGCGTGTGGGACAGTAAGGGTTAACATCATAGCTCTTGGTCAGGGGCTGGGGATTTAGCTCAGCGGCACAGGGCTTGCCTGGCAAGCCCAAGGTCGTAAGTTCGATTCCCGGTACTGGGAAAAAAAAACAAAAACAAAAACAAAAAAACATAGCTCTTGGTCAAGCCAGGCTTAAAGTCACATCTCCTTGTGGCCCAGTAGTAATCTGGTCGTATAGTTTTTAGAGCAGGTCCCTTCCCAGAAGGGGAACTGGGCAGTTTGGAAGACATAGAAGCACATGTTGGACCTCTCATCCCTGTATGACACACCTTTTTGCCCAGAAAAATGGCCTCTTTTCTGGGACCACAGTGGCTCCTACAATAGTCACATTTTTCTTGGATGGAGACCAATGGGTTCTGTTACTACCAAGCGCTCAGCTCAACTTTCTACCATAAAGTCTATGAACTGGCCTCCTACATTCATTCTTCAAGCAAGGCTGTAGCAAGGCAGAGTGAGTCTGTCCGCTGTCTTTGTTATTTGAGTTCTCAGTCTCTCAGGGGTTAACTTTAATCTTCTGTATAGCCTCTTTTAAAGTTCTTTAATACACATTCTAATGGGTGGGTTCTGACCCTTGTCTTTCCACATTTACCCTGTTACAAAGCAAACATTTTCTCAAGCACTTTTCCTTCAGGTTAATTCAGGTTAATTTGTTCATCTCCTCCTGGGAAATTTTTGGAAGAAACAATCTGAGCTCCATCAAACTAACAAGTAACCACACATATTTCCTTTGATAAACTACTTCCACAAGTTTTCCCCAGATATATGTAATCTTTTCAGTTTTGTCATTATCTCTCTTTTTATGTATTTATTTTGTTTTTGTTTTTTTTGTTTTTGTTTTTGTTTTTTGTTTTTTTCTGGTACTGG